CTGCAAAACTTCTGCAGGTGTGTTTTCTACGCTCGAGCGGTTTTATTGCGCTCGAGCGGGTTACGCTCGAGCGGGCTTGTTGGCGCTCGAGCGGTTAGTACCTCGTTGGTGAAAGGTCTGGGAGATGAAAATCTTTGCTCGAGCGGACTGGTCTTTCGCGCTCGAGCGGCTGTCCTTTGTCTTTGTGTCTTGGCGCTCAAGCGGGCATTCTTGCGCTCGAGCGTACCTGGTTTTCTGTTCTTGATGCTCGAGCGTCCTGTTATCCGCTCGAACGGGAATGTCGTATATCAGTTAGCAGCTGGGCGTTTTAAAATCACTTCTTACTTTCTCTCTCTCTCTCTCTTACTTTCTAAAAACATTTTTGATAGCTTCTCTCTCTAGGGTCTCCCTTCTCTCTAGGGTTTGATCTAGTTAAAGTGTCTCCTCATCCTCCGGCCTTCGTAAAAAGTGTGTTGATCGTCGAGGGCTCCATTTTGATCCGTGGATCTTTGAGTTTGGAGCATTTTGGTTTTCTTCAACTTCCCCGTTTGAGCTCTAACTTCGAGGTAGGGATATCCTACTCCTCTTTATGAGCTTTGTCTTTGAATTTTAGCATTTTGATATGTTGGGGGTTGTTGGGTAATTTTGAGAAAGTTTGGGTCTTTGTGTAATTTTACAAAAGATGGGGTTTTATTTATAATTAAACCTATATGCATGTTTGGCATAGAGAAATGATATAGATGATGAACTATGGATGAAAGTGGAACCTTGGGGTTGTTATGTTAATTATGGGAAAATACCCTAATTAGTTGGATAAATTAATTTGTATAATTAATTTTGAGAAATGAGGAATTGAATTGAGAGTATTCAAATTAAAAATATTATGGGATTAACGGGTGTAGCTGGATTCATTTAATCGCTCACCCAGGTTGAATGTTGATAATATACCCATTTGGTGCATTTATTTCCTGTTGAGAAATAACTGGTTTGGGCTATTGGTGGAGGATAGCCTTGATTGTTGTTGACAATGCATGATGATTAGGCAAACTAAAACTAATCGATTGAGTATGCTATCGAATATAGCGGTTGGAATAATACATCGACTTTATGTATTCATTGTTTATGTATATGATCTATGTTTATATACATTGTGTGTGTGGGAGGAGATAGGGGATGTACTCCACGGTTTAGGGGTAGATAGGGGATGGACCTCTAAGCCGGGTTGTGTGTGACATTGATACAACACTACAATGTGTATCAAGTGTTGATTATGGAAGTGTTAGATTGATTTGATATAGCACTAAAATGTATATCGTTATCAATTGTGAAGTATAGAAGTGTTTCTACGTTATATTGATACATCACCAAAATGTGTATCCTTCGTGAAGTATGGAAGTGATTTATGTATGATTGATACAGCACCAAAATGTGTATCCATCATGAATTTCGAAAGTGTTAAAGATGAGTCTTAATCTCATTAAGTCATTTGGCTAGGTTCTAAGCCTTGTTTTCAAACTCAAAATTGAAAAAGAAATAA